TCCTTGAGGCAGTGTCCATATCTGATTTTCTGAGTCCCACAGAGCAACTCCAATAACTACATGGGTGAGCAAATGAAGGCCCCAGGCTCAGTGTATATAACTCTCATCGTGAGCTGTGCCTTCATCTCACAAAGTTCATCTTACTGGTCACCTGTACTATTCAAGCCAGCCCAGCCACTAGGCCAGACACTGCAGAGGCCAAGTCAAATAGGACTCTGTCCCTTACCTATGGACTTCAACCTCAAAAAGGGAGATTGGCTGCCAGGGCCTTGCCCACAACAATCAGAGGAGTCCAACCTGAATGAGTGGACAGTTAAGCCACAAGGCAAACAGGCCTCATGTGCTCATGCTAAGGCAGAAGGCCCTCACACCAACCCACTGGAGAAGTGAAACTGAAATATTAGAACATCTATTTACATTTTCTTAAAATATTAAGTTTTAATGGTTATTCAGATTGACAACAGTATATGCAAATATTTCAAATATACATACATCACTGGTTTGGCTTGTGGCAAAGACTTGGAAATGGTCCCAACGAGCTCTGTCTGATGCCTTTATATAATCCCCCCACTTAAGTCAAGGCCTTTGACTTGCTTCTAATCAACAGAATACAGCAAAGCATCGACTGCCACTTCTTTGTTTATGCTATGTAAGACTATCACTTCTGTCTTACTAACAGACTGTTATTGACCTTCTGTCCATTTCTGATTTGATGAACAGAGATCATCATATAAAGAGGTCAGCCCACATGATAAAGTACTAAGAATGGCTTCCAGCCAACGGCCTGCAAGGCTGCTTCATTCTCACCAGTCACAAGGAACTGAATGCCAGTAACATACCTTGAGACTAAGGAAACTCTTCCCTAAGTCTAGTTTTCAGATGTCCCCCAGCTCTGGCCCACACATGGCCTCAGCCTCGTAGAAGGACCTGAAGGACAGGAGGAAGTAAGCTACGCCCAGGCCCCAGCCCACAGCAACTGGGAAGAGGTGAAACTTTGGTGATACTGTTGGGCAGCAACAGGTAAGTGATACAGGATTTAGACTTGTGACTGTCAAGACATGCAGCTAAGAAGCAGGCAACTCAAACCACAGCTCTCTAGACCACACAAGAGGGAGTCATAAAACATTTGCACACTGGGCTGGAAAGCTGGCTCAATGGTTAAGAGCACTGACTGCTCTCGCAGAGGACCTGGGTTCAATTCCCAGCACCTACATGGTAGCTAACAACTGTCCTAGCTCTAAGACGATGCCCTCTTCTGACCTATGTGGGCATTGCATGACACGGGTGCATTTATACACATTCAGGCAATAAATACACTCATACACATAAAATAAAAATAATCAAACACAAAATGTTTTTTTAAAAAAACATTTGAACACCAACAGTATGGTCTTTGACTTTCGGTGGTAAAAAAAAAAAAAATCATGACTCATGCTAGGATGGGAAAACTCAGAAGTTGTCTCCCCAAGATCTAGGTTCAAGTCCCAGTTCTGCCTCTAAGCTGCAGGTGATCACAATGAACTCACACATATTTCCCCTGCCTCCTTATCAATACAACCAGCTGGACAAGACTGGTAAGAGTCTGCAGTGAGTGACCGGGGAAGTGTTTTGTAAGACAGACTCTGATGGGTATGTGTTAGTCATCAAATTCAGGTGGCAGTGAGGAAGGAGTTGTTCTCTTACCTTCACTAACATAAGTGAGGAGCAAAGCCCATTCTAGCTCTGGCCTTCATTGATTCTAAATTGCATAATTAAAAAGGAAGAAGGGAAGGTGTCAGCTAGGGAAACTATCTTCCACTGGAAACACCCTTGACCATCACATCTTATCAGCCTGCAGGGCCTACAACCTGAATTCCTCAACAAAGAGAGAAAATTCCAGTGTTTTACAAAAAGAAAATAAAGAGAGATGGCTCAGTGGTTAGGAACACTGACTGTTCTTGCAGTAGACCCTGGTTCGAATCCCAGCACCCACATGGCAGCTAACGACTGTCTGTAACTCCAGTTCCAGGGGATCTGAAAGTCTCTTCTGTCCTCCGCAGGCATTGCACGACACGAGTGCACTTACATACATGCAGGCAATACATGCATACACATAAAATAAAAATAATAAATTTTTAAAAAAGGAAATAAAATGTAAAGTCAGAGGGAACCATCAAGTTTCAATATAAATGACTGGCCACTGTCAGTGGGACAGTAGCTTTGACTTTACTACTAGGTGCCTAAGTACCAGGAGCTTATAAACACTACCATTAATCTTCACTACAGTCTTCTAGTATGGGTTGTATCATCCTTATTTTATATAAAACTTAGCTATGGCTCAGTGAGAGTGGGCCCCTTGCCAAATGCACCTGTAAGTACAAGATAGGAATAAGCTTTAACTCTATTTGACAGTTAACTGTCTGGTCTTGGCATATACCCCATTACGCTGGGAGACAGCACTTTGAGCAGAAAGAACAGTCAGTCTTCACAAAACAGAGTAAAGTTTCTTGGCCCACAGTGAGGTCAAACACACTCATTCCACAAACATTTACTGAGCAGGGGGTGATTCTAACCAGGGAGTCTCACTAGTGCACAGAGCACAAATAAATGGCCAAATAACTGAACAAACACACAGGCAGATGGACACACTGACAGCTAGTGCTTAGAGCACACATGGTAAGAGTGAAGTATGCGTAACAGAGTAACAGGGTCAGGTAGGTGATGACTGCTGTAAGGGAGGGGGTTCAGAGAGCGGAACTGCAAGTGCAGTAGCAGATGCATTCTAGAAACAGCAATGGCAAAATGTTTAATACAGGAGCAGAGAGGACCCAGGATCTATGAGAGGACACAACCACCAGAGGCTTCCATGCTCCCATCAGCCCTGGGAGGCTTTGAGCAGAGTGGCCAGATACAGGGTACTTTCACTTCAGCCTATGGGGTGTCAGGGAGAAGTGGCCTTGGTCTGAGGAGAATGGCTCTAGGGATGTGAGGGAATCTAGGTCAGAAATGCCATGATAAATGGCTCGACTGCCAGTCAACACAACACCAGCACTGGGGCTACCCCATAAAGTTTGTCTGATCCCGAAGGAAGACTGAGGCACTCTAAAGCAGCCTTTACAGTGTTTGAAGTGCCAGTCATCATTTTAAGTAGCAGAGAGGCTGTGTAGCAATATGGGAAATTGAGTTACTTGGAACTTTAACTTTTGGATATTTTTCAAATGCTATTCCTTTCAATCAAAGGTTTAATTGGCTTCAAAACCTAAGTTTGTGAATGACATTGATAACATTTAGTTCTGTTCCCCCAGGAGAGGAGTAAAATTGCTATTCTGTTAAAGAAGCTGAGAAATCTTCCATCTTATTTTGTGGCCTGGAATAAGACAGCATGGCCTGGAATAGGAGTGTCACTGGAAATGTGAAAAAAATTAGTAAACTACTAAGCTCAAGAAACAGAAAAAAAAAAAAAAAGCCTTAAGATATTATACATTCCTGGCTTTCTTTACCCCCTTCACTAAAGTGTGATGTTCTGCACAACTAAAATATAGGTATAGACCTAGATATACCTGGCTATTTGGGAAAGTATGAGAAGTTACAACCTAAGTAATAAGTCTCCCCAACTCCCAAATGTTTGGTTGCAGGCATAGGCCACCACGCCTTACTTTTACAGTGGGGAAGACCACCACGTTGGGGTGCCCGGTCTCTTAACATGAGTCATTTCTAAACAGAATTGGTCCATTGGATTCTGTCTGATTTCAAAACTGACACATTTAAGAATGGTGCTTGAGGGACTGTGAAATGGCTTAGCAAGTAAAAGTGCCTGTTGCCACATCTGATGATCTGATTTCCATCCCCAGAGGGAGAGAAAGAACTCCTGAAAATTGTCCTCTGACAGAGGGAGGGAGGGAGACAGGGAGGGAGGGAGGGAGGGAGAGAGAGAAACACATGCTAGGTGTAACAGCACACACCTGTAATCCTAGCATTTGGAAGCGAGAAGTGGGAGATCAGGAATTCAAAGTCTTGGCTACATGATGAATTAGAGGCTAGCCTGAGATATATGACAGCCTGTCTCAAAAGAACTAAAACACGATGGAAAAACACCTATTAATTGGCAAAGTTGTCACCATTTAACTTATCAGATTCAACTACAAGTAACATTCTTCACTATTATGAAGCTGTGGAATACCAGATATTGGCTGTGCTTTTCCATATTGTTACTAAAAAATTTCTAGAAGGGGTTGGAGAGATGGCTCAGCAGTCAAGAGCACTGACTGCTCTTCCTAAGACCCCGGGTTCTGTTCCCAGCACCTACAGGATGGCTCACAATATCTTTAACTCCAGTTCCAGTGAACCCAATGCCCTCTTCTGGCCTCTGTGGGTACTGCATGACACAGGTGCGCTTACATACAGGCAAAACACTCATACATAGAAAGTAAAAAATAAATTTAAAAATGTAATGTTTCTAGAGAAAAAAACTAAAACAAAACCAAAAAAGGCTTAGCCTTGGTCACTAAGAAGTAGAATAGGAGGCGAGGAACAGGCTACAAAGCTGGGTCTTTTTCTTGCACTCTAACCCACTCAGCTAACCACTCCTAAATAAATCATTTCTGAGGCCCTGAACAAATGAGGCATGAAAACACAAAAGCCTTTGGAGGACTCCAGGGGTCACTTAAGAGAGCTCAACACAGGCTTCTGAAGTCAGCCTGAGAAATCACAGAGGTGCGGAAAAATCACCAGGACCTTTTGGAAATGAACAAACCCTTCTGTGCCACTGGAAAGGACACAAGAATTGGAAGAGGAAGGCAGTAAGGACAAAAGCAGGGATTTCCTACCCAGAATCTAAGAGATTATACTTCCCAACTCTATAGGGGGAATTGGTACGTGAACTTCAAAACAAAACATTCAACAAGAGAGAGATATACACAAGCCTACACATGCGCATACCCACATGAAACTGTACAGAAAGATACAGGGCCTAGTCCTTTGTCCTTGATGCTAACTGATACACCTGTCCGTTTGGAACATACCACACAAGATGAAAATGCAACCTCTTGCTTTCCTTGTTAGCTGGACTTGGCTACTGCTACTGTCTGGTTTGGAGTGGCTGTGGTTGTTGGGAGATGGTCTATCTCTGGAGCATCAAAGAAGTATGCCTGCAGGAAAACAGACAGACGAGGGAATCAGAAAGCAACAATCTGGTGACTGATCTTCCAGACAGCTATGCTACAGTCCTTGTGGGTGTTTGTGGCCCCTCCCCTCTTCCATCCTATTTGGTATCACACTGACCAGCAACCACCTCTGTTTATGTCTGACACACTCAACTGTGAGGACCTTTTAGTTTAGCTACCATTTGTTGAGCACTTACTACTACATTATATGCTTGAATCTGAAGACAATCCTGCAGTCGTTACAGTGATTTTCAACAGATGCAGAAACTGGGGCTGAGAGCCTGTCATTAGATCAAATGCACATAGCACATGAACAGTGGAGCCAGGACTCAAAGCTAGGTCCATCTGATTCTAAATCTCGTTTGTAATTACTGTGTCATACGGAGACTGTCTCAGGCTCCACCTTTGTGTCCCCAGCGCCTCTCCTAAGGCACTGCACTCAAGTTGTTTATGAGCCAAGCCACAACGTACTGCTGCTAAACCAGTTGGTAGGCTCTGCAAAGACCTTGAAAAGAAGTGTTGGTTCACTTCCACATACCTCAGTTTGGAAATGCAAAGTGTGATAAGTGCTTATACTCACCACCCCCAGTTTAGGAAGTAGGAGAGAAAGACAGCAAGGGGGGGCTTCCCTCCAGCCTCAGGGTCTCGGAGGACACTAACAGTTAGCTCAGGAAAACACCAGAGTTGCCAGCCTTGAGCTTCCCTTCAAAGGGAGGGTGAATCTGATACTGTGCCTAGGACTATTAGATGCTCTGGCAACCATGCCTCGAAGGAGATAAGGCTTAAAAAGCTACCAAGACAAGAACCATTTTCCCAGCTGTGCCCTCATTAGCCAAAAGAGGGCGCCAACACAACACGCTGGGATTCCCCAGCACAGTCCTACGGCTTCCACAGACCTTGTCCAAGAGTTCCTTGCTGTCTTTTCCACAGACTCCCTCTAGTTTGTCATATTCTCAGAGTATTTCCTACTTTTAAGGGTCCTTTCTTGCAGCTGTTTTCTGCAAAGATGAAGAAGAGTGAACTTGGGGGGCATGGGTTGGATAGAGGCCACAGTGTCCATGCTATCCTGGGCTCCTTGGGTTCTCTGAACAGGAGCCCTGAGTGAGACAAGTCTGATGAAACCCTCTTCAGGGCTCTCAGCTCTGGGCTGGGAGATCCAGGTGCCCCATCCAGCTTGACTACTGGTCAACAAGCCCCTCTACCCCTCAGTTTTGTCTGTAAAATGGAAAGATTGTTAAAGATAGTCTCCAAGAGCCTTTTAAACAAGAAAACTTTAACTCTGACTAATTCCACAAAGCTTTACTTCTACAAAGACTTAACATCCTCAGCTCTCAGAACCCCTGTGATAGGCCATTTGGTGCCTATTTTAAAAGAGAAAGCTGAGGCTCAAAGAGAGAGAGTTCCCTGAAGCTACGCAACGGCACGCCAAGCTGGGACTCCAGGCTAGCTGTCCACTCCCAGGGTCTCGGCTCTGCTAGTCTCCACAGTCTTCGATCTCACATGAGGTCTGTGCCCAGCCCAGCTCGAAGCACTACCGGAGCACAGGCTTCCTATCAGTAGGGACAGGACATGGGTCTTTCTGTGGTCAGTAGGAATCAGTCATACAGGCCTGTCTGGCTCTCAACATCCTGGCTGAGGATACACCCTCCTGGGTGTGTCCTTTGCCAGCCCCACCTGGTGTGTTTAATACAGACCTGGAGCTCATTTACAAATGCAGTCATCCAGAAGCCCTCAGCAGGTGTGCGGTTGTCACATACCTCATTACACTGAGGTGAGGACACCAATCCACGTTCCTCAGGGGAGACTGAGAAAGCCAGCCTGTCTGGTTCAGTCAGTGCCCCTCAGCTCAAATGACTCCCCAGCCAATTCCTCTTACAGCCTTCTAATAATAATAATGTCTTCTGATTGCATGACTTGGCAGAGTCCCCCCTCGTGTGTGTGTGTGTGTGTGTGTGTGTGTGTGTGTGTGTGTGTGTGTGTGTGTGTGAGTGTGCATGTTCATCTATGTGTGGGTTCATGTGTGCTCAGGCCAGACTACCTCAAGTGTCATTCCTTTGGTGCTATCCACCTTTGTTGTGCTTTTTGTTTTAAACACAGCATCTCTCACTAGGGTAGAACTCACCAAGTAGGCTAAGATGACTGCCAGTAAGCCTCAGGGACCCACCTGTCACCATTTCCCCAGTGCTGGGATAACAAACATGCACCATCATGCCCAGCGTTTTAAATGTGGGTTCTTGAGACTGAACTCAGGTCCTCTGCAAGAACTTTATTAACTGACCTGTCTCAGTCACCCTTTTTTTTGTGAGACAAGGCCCTGCTATGTACCTCTGAATGGCCTGGAACTTACTATGAAGCCCAGGCAGACTACAAACTTGCAGCAATCCTCTTGCCTTAGCCCGCCAAGTACTGGGATTACAGATGTGAGCCACAATACCCAACCAACTTATATTTTTCATGCTGCAAATCTCAACCAATCCTTCAAACAGTACAGTGTGTGGTGTGCTAAGGGAAGAGAAAGAAGTATGGAGAAAAGAAATAAGCACAGCAGGAGTGGAGGAGCTGAACTGGAAGCCAGGCTTCTTCCATTCTGACTACCCCTCCTCCAGAAGAGCCATCTCCAGTACAGAGAAGAGTACAGACACAGGGCCCTGGCTCAACACCTGGCCATGGAAGGCTTCCCTTGCCCAGGAGGACACAGTAACTTCCCCTTAAGAAGAGCCCTCCTCCCAGCAGGCACCTCCCTGTCCTACAGTTCAATGTGCCCTGCTCAGGAGGCCCTTTCAGAGCTGAACAGAGTGGTGCTTTTCTTCTGCCTCTGCCTCTCCACCAGCTTCTCAACCAGGGCTCTAATGAGTGAAAAGTTCAGGACAGAGATGGCCCAGGGAGAAGCACTAATGAAACACATGGTCCTAGCATGGGAGAAGAGCCTTAGTCCACTGACGACTTGTGTGACCTTGGATCACTCCTACTAGGGCCCTGACTTACGACATACAGCAGAGCAGCCTGGAAACGTCTAATGACACGGGGCTGTATTCTATCACTTTTTTGATCAGAAGAACTTGTCACAGTAGAGGAAGGAATTCCACAGGCATATCACTGAATCTTACCCAAGCTTGATGACCTGAGTTTGATCCCCAGAACCCACATGGTGAAAAGAGAGAACAGACTCCTGCCAAGTTCCTTGGACCTCTACACGCATGCTATGCCATCCATGTGCCCACACTCATAAATACATACACAAAAAATATAGAAAAATATAAAAACACACCAGGAAAATAGAGTAACCAGACCATACCAAGCAGCCCACAGAAAGCAGGACATGCAGCAGCAGGATCGTCACAAGGGTGGCCAAGGCAACGCGCCGGTTATCCTCTCGAACAGCTGGCCAAAACGTCATTGCCAAGACAGACCCTGAGATGCCCAGGGCAATCATGACTAGGATCCAGCGAACAGTTCTCTGGGGGATGATCCACAGTACCTGAAAGAGGAGAAAGGGCAGGAGAGGGTTCTTTGGAAGTATCTATCCATTCCCAACACTGACATTCACAAAGCCCCTGAGCCAGCCAGCAGCTGGGTGTGCAATGCCACGTGGCTTTGTGGAGCACTACACCAGCACGGACACTTTCCTAACCCAGGGTTCCCAACACAGTCAAAGCACTTGCCCTCCCAGCACCCATTCATAATGCACTTTAAATTCCCAGGGGACTGCCAGGAGCATAGGAGCGTTAGGGTAGAAATAACGCTTGGTAGAATACTTGGTTGAATTTTCCACCAAGGACAGAGCATCACTCAGAGTCTGCTCCTCAGCATGGTACTTACTGCTGTGGGGATATAAATGAAGAGCGAATAGCCATAGACACACACAATCTCCAGAAATGAGTAGGAAACGATGTTCATCACTTTGCTGTTTCTCCACATGAGGAAACCCCAGAGAGCGAGAGGAACAAGCCAGGCATACGCATAGATGACGGTAGCCGCTACGGACACTGTGGATGACAGAATAGTTCTGTCTCCATCAAGCCTTTACTACAGTGTCAGGATGCTTCCCACACCTTACCACCTTTCCATCAAGTATGCTAATCTACCTCAGACTTTTGCATCATGACTTACCACTCTGCATTTCCTGGGCCTGGCAGCACCCAACACATAGTAGATGTTCTATAAATTTGTGTGGAACTAAAAAATCTTTAACATCTGTCATTGTGGTGATAACCGGTAGTATCCTATATGGCTTTTATAACTGACTTAATGACTAACAATTAGCAATATGAAACAACTAGATTATGTCATTGAAATACTACAGAGTGTCACACTGAAAGTGCTTAAATATCCTGCGTTTTTAGATCAAATAAAAGCCAACTATCCCCTTGGTAGAACATGTTCTCCTCTCTAGCAAAACAAGAGCTGACACTGATTCTTTTAGTAAACGTGTTAAAATGCCCTGGGTACAGATTAACTTGTTCTGCATGTCATTTAGTGATCTTTCTGTGTCTAAAATAGAGAGTTCTAGCTCACTGATGGATTGCTAGAAATAATCTCCATTTTCAGTTTTTTTCTCACATAAATAACTCTGTCTTGGTGGTGAAAGTGCCAGATAGCGGTTCCTGGGAGCTAAGAGTGCACTCTATCACTGGACTGCTCTGCTCTCCTTGTCTCTCTGCTCTGCCCCTGCATAGCAGTGTGCCCCAGAGGGCTGTCTTCCCACTTCTGGAGTGTCAACCCTAAAAGCCATGCCACCCGCTCTTCTTATATGAAAATCAGCAAAGAGTTCACTTAGCAAAAACGAAGGCCCCTCCTAGCAATTACAGACAAACTCTTACTAAAACATGTCATTGTCCAAACACTCTGACGCTCCAGAGAAGTTTTTTCCTAATGGAATTCCCTCACTAAACTGAGTGCAGTTTTGGTGGCATAACTCCTTTTCCTTGGTAAGCAAGAGGAGGAGAGGAAGTTCTGCTCTGGCTGTAACTACTGCTTACTGAGCACTGGCTGGGCATCAGCCATTGCACTCAGGGCTTTACTGAGAGGCAATCTGTGTCAGAGTCCAGGCACAGACTCCATGCTATAGGTACTAATCCTAGGCAAAGCAACTCTGAGTAGTGATGAAACCTTCCTGCCTCAGTTTCCCTATCTGCAAAATAGGAATAAAATTACCTTATAAGACTATTAGGAAAATAAAATAAGTAAAAACAGGTAAGAACTTTTCTAAGTAGAAGAGTGACTGGCATACAATAAATACTCAATTAAGAATTAGCTTTTGGGGTTTGGAGATATGGCTCAGTGGTTAAGAACACTGGTTGTTCTTGTAGAAGACCCGGGTTTGAATCCCAGCACCCACAAGGCAGCTAACAACTGTCCATAATTCCAGTCCCAGGGGGTCCGACAGACTCTTCTGACCTCCCCAGGCATTGCACAACACGGGTGCACTTACCTACATGCAGGCAATACACGCATACAGATAAAATTAAATAAATAAATAAAATTTAAAAAAAAAGAATTAGCTTTTATAAGCCAGGCATGGTAGCTCATGCCTTTAATCCCAGCACTCTGAAGAAAGAAGCAGGGGGATCTCTGTAAGATCAAGACCAGCCTAATCTATATAGTGAGTTCCAGGTCAGCTGGGGCCACAGAAAGACTCTGTCTCAAAAGGAAAAATAATTTTTTTTCTTTGCAGGGGGAGGGTGTTGAAGAGACAGCTCAGTGGTTAACAGCACTGACCATTCTTCGAGAGGACCCAGGTTTGGTTCCCAGCATCTACATGGCAGCTAACAACCATCTGTAACTCCAGTTCCAGGAGATCAAACACCCTCTTCTGACCTCTGTGAGCATGCACACATGTGCACTTACATATATTCATGTAAAACAGTCATACCTATAAGATAAAAATAATTTTTAATAAAAAAATAAGTAATAAAATACTGGGCATGGTGGCACATTCCTTTAATCTCAGCACTCCAGAGGCAGAGGCAGATGGATCTCTGTGAGTTCAAGGCCAGCCTGGTCTGGTGAGTGGCAGAGTGCCTGCCTAGCATGCACAAGGCCCTGGGTTCAATTTCCCCCAGCATCACCGAAAAAGAAGAAAAGGGAGAGGAAGAGAAAGAGGAGGAGGAGGAAGAGGAGGAGAAAGAAAGAATTACAGCCTATGTGTGGTAATACATGCCAATAATCTCAACATTTGGGAGGCAAGAAGATTATAAGTTCATGGCCAGCCTGGGCTACATGGCAAAACCATGCCAAAAGAAAAGAATTATCATTTTCTGTTATTAGTTAGTATATAAAGACATATTATTCATATCATCCATATTTTCCCTTTAGGATCAGAGAAGCTAAGTAGTTTGATCAAGGTCGCATAATTAGCAAGGAGGTAGGAGCAGGATCTAACTCCAGATGTGATCCATATACTTTCTTTGTTTTTTTGAGACAGGGTCTCTGTAGCCCCATATGGTCTGGAACTCACTATATAGACCAGGCTGGCCTTGCTGTAACAAAAATCTACCTGCCTCTGCTTCCCAAGTGCTGGATTAAAGGTGTGTCCTACCATGCCTGACTCATACTTCTTTTTTTAACTTTTAATTTTTTTATTTATTTTATTTATTTCGTGTGTGTGTGTGTGTGTCTGTATGTGTATATGCATGCTCAAACCAGACAACTTTTTGGAGGTTTGTACTCTCCTTCCACTGTGGGTTCTGGGGATTGAAATCAGGTCAGCACCTTCCTGCTGGCCTGTGACTCACACTCTTTACATAACATGAGAAGATAAGGCAGTGATTATCTTACTGGTACATAAATCACATCAGGCTCTGACACCGGGATGGCCAGCCTAAGACAGACAAATAAAAACCCTCCTGTGGTCCAGATCCACGCCCTGGCAGTATTATTGTTTCCATTTTGCCAATAAAGAATCTGAGGTGAAGGTTTGCCCTAGGAGGTGGAAGCTGGTGAATGGCAGAGCTGGAACCTGTAGCCAGTGTTCAGTTCTGGAGCCTGTGCTCTTCCCCAAGCTCTTGCATCCTCTTAGCAGGACAGCAGGGAGGGAATGACACTGGCCTGAGAAAATGCCACAGGTCAATATTCAACCTTCTTCACTTTGGGGTAGATGTCATTGGAAATCCCTGAAAGCTGTTTTCTTTTTATTGCCAAATACTAGTTTGTCTTTTAAGACAAGGTCTCTCTGGTCTGGAACTTGCTATGTAGATTAGGCTGGCCTCTGTCTCACAGAGATCCACCTGTCTCTGCCTCCTGAGTACTGGAATTAAAGGCATGTGTCACCTCAACTGGTTTGTCTTTGTTTTTAAGATAGGAAATTTAGTAGCTGAGGAGACAGCTCAGCACTCACCAAGTGAGGATAACGATCTAATGTAGAATTCTCAGAACCCTGAAAAGTTGGACGTGGTAGTGGACATTTGCAATCCCAGCACTCCTACCCTGAGATGGGAGGCAGGCAGGAGAGCCCCCAGAAGCTCAAAGGTCAGTTAGCCTGGCAGATGCAGCAGTGATCAACAAGAGACCTTCTCTCAAACAAGGTGGAAAGCGAGGCTTAACACCTGAGGATGTCCTCTGACCTCCACATGTGCACTGTGGCATATGCACCTGCATTTACACAGGAGCATCATACACATACAGAGGAAGAGGAGGAGGAGGAGGAGGAGGAGGAGGAGGAGGA